CCTAAGGCATAAAATCAGTGATTTGCGTCCTCACATTTCCATTGTTTTACATTTCATAACAGAACATTCATTCACTGGTTAACTCCTAGTTTGTGGCCTTGCATATGTAAAGTGTTTTCCATTCAAATAGAGCAACTATAGTCATACGTCAACCATTATACCTTTCATTTTCAGTAAAGACATTTGCATATAGACAGCAGAAATGCATTTCATTTATTTTATATTCATTAACGTTGAAATTAAGTTATCTTTCATATCTAACTTCATCCAAGACACAGCACAGACCATGTCTGACCTCGCTTTGGCTTCTCTTTGTAATTGTAAATTGGCCTGCATACTTGAGTCCAAACTCTCCCTCTTTATATATGCAGGCGGGTACCATATCCATCTCCTCTACATCGGTCTAAAAGATCATAAAGTGTGGTCCAGTTAGTAACTAGGTTCTAAGTGGCACAAAATTTACCTACAATATTAAGGGTTCAAACGGTAATGGAAGCACCTATGGTTAGGAGTACTTACCTGAGCCCCGATCGGGATTAGTCTCATACCTTCGGGAAGACCTAAGGCTTTCAACAAAAAAAAAAAAAAAAAAAAAAAAAAAAAAAAGAAAAAAAAAAGCAGCTTATTGCCCCCTTTTGATTATTTTCCTGCCTCCTCCATTGACACCTCTTATTTCACTCACATTTGTTGTGCATTCATTTTACCTGAAACGGCCACTTCGAAGCTTAATGTTACCCAGTTTGACCTAACAAAAATACCAGAGCTAATAGACACACTTTGCGCCAAAAACTTGCCCATTAAGATTTTATCATCCATAGGAGGAGGTGGTATGTAATGACCCCAATGTTTTTTCGAAGATGGTTAGTACCAAAGAAACACGTATAACTTTCATCAATTCAACAATTGAAATAGCTAGAAAATATGGTTTGACGGTGTTGATTTAGATTGGGAATTCCCTGCCAATGATCAAGACATGGCAAATCTTGGGTTATTATTTAGACAATGGCGAAAAGCTTTAAATCATGAAGCTAGAACAAGCAGAAATTCACGTTTATTATTAACTGCTGCAGTTTATTATGCCTCTAAACTCACCACATACGGTGAGCCTCGATCATATCCAGCAAATGCAGTTAAAATTATGTTGATTGGGTGAGTCCAATGTGTTTTGACTATCATGGTTCATGAGAAAATTTTACTGGGATACAGGCAGCGCTTTATGATCCTAATAGTAATATAAGTACCAGCTATGGACTTGGGTCTTGGATTCAAGCCGAGTGTCACGGGCTAGGAGTTTCACACCCAAAAAGTTAACCTATTAGGTGGAGGAACTCCCCCCATTTATAAGCCCAAGATCTCCCTAATACGCTTCCAATGTGGGATTTGTTACATTCTCCCCCACTCAATCCTGTGACGAGGACGTCACAGGTGGGGTCCCCTGTCTACCCATCCACCTCACTCTCGTGTGAACCCACAATCACACATGGACACCCTTGCGTGGGCGCTTGGCGGGACATCGAAAGACAAATTGGGTCTGCTCTGATACTATTTGTCACGGGCTAAGAGTTTTACACCCAAAAAGCTAACCTATTAGGTGGAGGAATTTTCTCCATTTATAAGTCTAAGACCTCCCTAATACGCTTTCAATGTGGGATTTGTTACACGAGGTACCGCCCGAGAAGTTAGTCATGGGCCTCCCATTACATGGACGCACATGGAAGCTCAAGGATCGGAATGTTAATGGAATTGGAGCTCCGGCATTAGGAGTTGGGCCTGGAGCTGGCATCCTTACTTTCAATCAAATTGTTGACTTCAACACAGCTAACAGTTCAACTGTTAAATTTGACGACGAAACGGTGGGATATTATTCTTATGCTGAGGATTCTTGGATAGGGTACGATGATGTGGAGTCGGTATAATAATTATCTAATTATTGTTCTAATAAAATACGTTAATCACAAATTAAATAGCTAATTGACACTGACATACGCTTTATTGATGATTGGCAGCTTCAAATTCATGGAGACGTTGATAGCTTTCAGAAGTCCACTGGATTCAGTTTGTTTGATTGCTTGTTATCTCTTCCTTTGATTAAATCATTATTTCAATGATTAACGGTGAAGATAACGATACTAATGATATAATTAACAAATAAATTAAAGATTATACGTACAAACTAATTAAAGGATCAAAGAATATCTTACTAATAAGCTAAGCTTGAGATCTGGGTAGGTTTTTCTAAAATGGTGCCTTGCCAACTGCCCTGTCTAATCATATCTGTAAAACTTAAAAATAAACTTTAACTTACTGTATGTCATTTTTTCACCTCATGTTTAGCAAATCCACGTTTGATGCCACATGGGTTTGGTTAATTTCGCAACTACTACACAGATCGAATTAGTTGACCAACGTCTTCTGTTAACCACTCTATTATTTTCATATATAACTCCCTCGATCTTTGGATTCATATATCTCATGTTTTGCTCTCCTCAATGCTAAACCTAATTTTCACATACCAGGTTTTTCAAGTTCCAATATATATGTGTATCTTTGCTTTTTTCAGGTTTATTCTTGGCTGATAGGGTACAGCTAGCTAGCTATCCAAAGTTGGCATATTATTGGGAACCTTTGACTGATTAACAAAAACAGATGTTCATTAACTGAAATTCTTTTCTTCCAAAGTAAGATTTTTGCAGACAACGCGAATCTAATGCTCCTAATCTCAGTAAAAGTAACAGATAAAAATGTTACTTCAGTTAGTTCTACGACAAAAAGAGTCATACAGCTTGCATAACTTGTACTAATTCTGTAACATCACCAGTATACCAAATATGAACATGGAATACAGTTTCCCAGATAACTGTTAACTCCATTGCGTGCTATATTCTGAACAATTTGGTTCCTTGATCTTCTTTCTATAGATATCCAAATATATAATAAGTTGTGGAATTATGTTATGGTCTTGAAGTGAAGCGGCACAAGATTTCATGAAATATATATATATTATATTTGAAAGGAAAGTTGAAGGAAGGCAGTGAAGGTGCATGTTTTAATATTGTGGGGGTATATCCCTTATGGGAGACAGTATTAGCTAAACATAAGACATTTATGAAGCAAGCTAAGCTGTGTTCTTCCCCCCTATAATCATGTGAGTTCAAAAAGCAAGGAATCAAAAGATTTTGGCAGCCAAACATGAATTTCTAGAATATTAATATAATAATGTATTGTGGTGTTGAGAAGAGAGAGAGGAGGGCACTTCCGTTACTTCAGAGAGTGAATATTTATGGACAGTCAAATGATGGTGGGTTGATAATCATAAATAATTTGATTGGGATCTTGTTGTATCCCTGATTGGTGGTTTAGGATCTTCCACATTGTCATTCAGAGCAATCCAACGGGGTAAAATAACTTGTCACTCCATCCTCCTCTCCTTCTTCTAGTGGGTTTATAACTTCATTACCACATCAGTACTCTTTTCTTTTATCTTATAATTAAAGACTATAGTATGATGCAAGATTGATTAAGATATAACTATAAGTATGGTAATGGTTTTATTAATTAAACATTGGATTAGAAGATAAAGATACAGCTTTATTCAACTTGGAAGGACCAAGTCTGATTATAAGATTGTTTAATTTATCTCCTTCTTATCTGGAACCCACAACGATAGTAGTCTCCACCAAATCCACACCATCCATCCTAGTAGTGCACATTCAATCAAACCCTTAAAAAATCTTTTCTTTTAGTAGTAATTTCCTTTACGAATTGTATCTTCAAAGAATGTTGATCTTACGGTCAAGAAAGTTTACTCATTTCAAACCACTTGAGTTACTGCCACCTTAATGAATACCTTGGAACATATTTTGTAAGATGTTTAATAGATTTTAGAAATTAGTCGAGAAGTTGACCGGATATCCAAAAAAAAAGAAAAAAAAAAAAAGTTTCACTTTCTCCACCAACCTTTGGTCCCTTGAGAAAAAACAAAGTTGTTGGATTTGTTGGTATGATATCACTTGTTTGTGGGCTGTCACTTCATATTCTCTCGTCTTGTGCATGCATGAGTGGAGTGCGCTGATTTTCAATTGCAAATTGGTTGTTGTTGCTATAGCCTATAGCCTATAGCTACCATGGTCCATTAATTTGTACAAATTTATTATTAATGCTTTGATTAGTTAATAATGCATGTATAAAATTCTGTTATGTATGTATATATAGCTATATGACCTTGGTTCTGGGAAGTATTAGTTATTTAATTGAGTTAAATTAAGATTATATAGCATTAATTATGTCACGATCATATAAAACTAGAAAAAAAAAAAAACCCATCTAATGATTTACCCATTTGAAATGGGTTGGTTGGTGAACACCATGCACTAAAATTAATTAATTTGTACTTAAATTTTGATGTTAATCTCTTGACCTCATATGACTTTGGCGTGGTCTTAGGCTTTCTTATCTTTAAGCCCTAAATTTATTTATTTTATTTTTTAAAAAAAGGGCTAAGCCTATAAAAAAAAGGAGGAATCTTAATAAAGGCAAAACTGAAAAGTAATTAATTTATTATTAAAGAAAATAAAGTAGTAAAAACAAACAGCCAAACTGAAACTGCAGCATTTGCATCACCCACGAAGCACGCTCACGCGTGTCTCGCACTCCCTGCTATTGGTACAGTTTCCTTTTCTATGTGGTCCCCACCACGTGGTCTATCTCTATTGGCTGTTCGACTGAACCGAAACGTTTCCTTTTGAGATTCTCTATGACCACGAGCTTGCTTTTGCGTTTCCGTTCTGGGCCTTAATTTTTTTTGGTGGACTTAAATTCTTAAAGTGATGCTAAGTACCCACCACCACAGTCACTTTTTAAGGAAACTATGCCGATACGTGAAGGACACGCTCCATAAGTTCAGTTAAAACAAAATCTCTTTTTATTTGAGAATTTCTTTAAATGGTAAAAACAATATTTTCCATTAAAGTCTGGAGTATTCATTCTTCTTCCAGCTTTCACAGTCCAAAGATAGTTCATAGATTCCATATTCTGTCTCCTTTCACAGTTCAAAAAAACTGCAATAACAGAGGAAGAATTTTTTTACTGTGCTGTTAAATTTATATTTTATTATTTATATTTTCCATGAATATGATTAATCACTAATTATAAAAGTTAATCCCTTTTTAATCCATCTGTTAGACTAATATACTCTCTGGGTTCTGCTCAAAAGCATAAAAACCATAGTTGATAATCTTAAATTTAATTGCTTTCTTCTGAGAATTAGGCAAAGCCAAAGCCAAAGCCAGAGAAGAAATAATGACTGTAGAGAAAACAAATGGTGACCAGTTCCCAACTGGCATGAGAGTTTTGGCCGTTGACGATGATCCAACTTGTTTGTTGGTTTTGGAGACTTTGCTTCGTCGTTGCCAATACCATGGTTTGCTTCTTTTTCTCTGTTTTTTTGTAATTATTTTCTTACTTTCTTTTTGAGTTTTGCATATGGGGTTTTGGATTCACAGTTTGTTTCTTCATTTTGTTAGTTTTCAAGCTATGTTACTATAAATTTGACTCCATGCAGAATCTTTTGCAAATATTATTACTTGACTGCAAGTATGTTGTTAAAAAACAAAGATTTTATTCTTCATTTGGTTATTTGAAAAGAGTTTCTACTTGTTCATGAATGAATAATATCTTTCAAATTAATTTACAAGTTTTGGTGGAGTGCAGATTTTAGTTTTGTTCTGTTTTGGATCTTCAATATCTATTTGATTCTGAGATGAGTGTTGGATTTGATGAGATTTGATTTGTCCATTTTTGTAGTGTTTTTAAATTTTGAATCTAATGGGATGGTTTTATTGAGTTGTAAATACTGGTTTTTGCAGTTACCACAACAAGTCAGGCCGTCTCGGCACTGAAGATGTTAAGAGACAACAAGAACAAGTTTGACTTGGTTATCAGCGATGTGCATATGCCGGACATGGATGGTTTCAAGTTACTTGAACTTGTGGGGCTTGAGATGGACCTACCTGTTATAAGTAAGTAGTAGACACTGCACCTTGTTTTGCCTTCTCTGCTAATTGTCATTTGCCATCCAGATTCAAATTCTATTAACTTGAATGAAAATTTTAGTTAGATTCAACATACGGGTTTTAGATTGCCATAAAAAGTTTGGATATTTTCAGTTTTGTGCCATTTTAAGCTTTTTGGTGATTTGGTATCTTCCTGCATTGTTATGATGAATTTACAGAAACAGAACAAAACTGTTGGAAATTTTTTTTACTCTTTTTGTTAGTTTGACTTTTTTTAGAATTGATTTTGAAGAGATTCAACTGGAACTTTAAATGTAAAATGTTAAATGTATTCAGTGTTGTCGGGAAACGGCGATCCGAAGCTTGTGATGAAGGGAATTACTCATGGAGCTTGCGATTATTTGCTGAAACCTGTTCGGATTGAGGAGCTGAAAAACATATGGCAACATGTAGTCAGGAGGAAGAAAATTGATCCAAAGGACCGCAACAATTCTGACAATCAAGACAAGCCCCATCATGGTGGTGGGGAAGGTGCAGGATCTGGGAACTCTGATCAGAGTGGGAAGCTCAATAAAAGAAGGAAAGACCAAAATGAAGATGAGGATGAGGAGCGTGATGAGAATGAAAATGAAAATGAGGACCAATCATCCCAAAAGAAGCCTCGGGTGGTTTGGTCAGTTGATCTGCATCGCAAGTTTGTTGCGGCTGTTAATCAGTTGGGCATTGACAGTATGTTCAAACTCCTTATCTTAGTTACCATATTTGAAAACTCTTGCTAAAGCAATTCAAGATTTTCTTTAGACACAGGTAGCCTATTTTATCATGTGTCCTTTCCTAATTTTTATTAATTATGCATGACATACCTTGTATTGAGTCATAGGCTCTTACTTCGAATTGTTTGGAGGATTTCGGGGTTTATAAGGAGGATAGGTTCTTCTTCTTAATGTATTAACCTCTTGGATTAGATACCCTGACCCTCTTAACAATTAACATATAAAATCAAAACCAAACCCCAGTGATCCATCCAGACAATGAGGTTGCCCTTTCAGGCTCTGCCAAGGGTCTGGTCTGGGAGTTGTAGGTTGAGTCCATAGAGTCCGGGAGTCCCTCATTGAATGGTTGGGGAGGAGAGTTAGGTGCTCTTGCAATTTACAACTAGAATGAGTCACTCCACTTAATGAAATTAACCTTTAGGGTGGCTACGTTAGACTTCTAACACAATGTCTGAGATCATTTCTGAATTGTGAAATTCTTGAATTATTGGTGTTTTCTTTCAAAGTCATGATTGATTTTTCTCCTCTCAATTTATAAGACCAAAGTATTCTTGCCTGGCGAAAAATCAATTCTTGCTCTTGGTTTTGTCATATATTATGCAAATTCATCCATGTATCTTTCACTTAATTTCATCATAGTTTTTTCAACTTTTTCTTGTTTTTGATTTCAGAGGCTGTACCAAAAAAGATACTAGATTTGATGAATGTTGAAAAGCTGACCAGAGAAAATGTGGCAAGCCATCTCCAGGCATAAATTCTTACTCATACTGCCTCTGTTCTATGTGATGAAAACTATTGTTTCATGAAAGCTAACTAGCTATCATGTGGTTGCAGAAATATAGGCTTTACCTCAAAAGGATCGGCTGTGTGGCTAACCAACAAGCTAATATGGTAGCAGCCTTGGGCAGTACAGATCCTTCATATTTGCGAATGGGTTCTGTTAAAGGACTAGAGAATTTCCATTCCTTAGCTGGACCTGGGCAGTTTCAGAACAGTACTTTAAGATCTTTTCCACCTGGTGGGATGCTTGGTAGATTGAACACTCCTGCTGGTCTGGGTATGCGTGGCCTCCCTTCAGGAATGATTAATGATCAGACAAAATTCCATCCTAGCATACTTCCTGGAAGCCAGAGGGGTAATATACTTCAAGGGATGCCAACGTCCCTGGAACTTGACCAGTTACAACCAAACAAAAGCATAACTGCTGATGATAATACGGCAGTTTTCCCTGTTAACAGTGGGTTTCCAGATGCAAGATTAACCTTTGGTCGATCGAATAATCCTCATCTTGGTGTTACAAACAACCCCTTGATGTTAGAAGGACAGCCTCAAGAGGCCCAAGGTAACAGAGTATTTGGAAATCAATCTTTTGTTACATTGATGCCCTTAAATTCAGGATCTTCTTCCCATATACCAGATCATGGTAGATTCAATGACAATTGGTCAACTGCTGTTCAGTCATCTGGGATCCCGGCAAATTCTTTTTCATTTGGTGACTGTTTTAAACAGTCTACTCTGCATCCGTGTAACTTGAGAGACAATCTTTCTACAATGGCCTTGCAAATTGGAAATAATCCATGTGATGTTTCTTCTATGCCACCACTGGACAATCGATTACAGGATTCAAAAGCAGATTTACCATTCCAAGGTGTACCTATCAGCAAAAGTGCAGGGCAAATGATTAGCAATGTCCCGCAAGGATGGCAAAACCATAAGCACAATGCTTCATACCGCTCAAATATTGGATGCAACTCGTTAAACTCTGCAATCCCCATTAATGGTGATGCGGGGACTTTGGGCCAAAGCTTGGACCCAAGTAACACTCTTTTCCACAGAAGCACTGAATTTGATTCAATTGGACAATCAAATTATGTTGATCAATTTCCCATTAAGATGAATGAGGTTCAAAGGTCTGGTATGCAGACATCATTAAATCCGAAGGAAGAGTATCTCATGGTCCAACAGAAGACACAGAGTGGTTACATTTCTAATAATGTTGACTCATTGGAAGATTTAGTGAGTTCAATGGTGAAACAGGTAAGAACATATAATCTTGCTTTAACTTTTGTGATGTTTTTATTAATCTTAGCTTATTTATATCATGTCTACAAATTGATCTTTGTGTAACATTTCTGAGCTTCAACAATTACATTGAAGAAGTCGCCCAAGCTAGTCAATGCCGGTTGCTTTTAATAATATGGAATTGTCAATCTGCAAACTGTGTAAGCTCATTTTAGTTAGAATTGTGCGTACTATGTTTTGTTACATTGCTATGAGATGTAATATGACTTGAGAGGAATATTAACTCTACATGGAATAATTTGATGAGTATTGCTATTTTATTGCATTTAGCTCTTTTTCATAGTTATGGATGGTGGTTTCAGTTCACTAATTCTTTTTCCTTTTTTTTTTTTCAAGTTTGCTTTTTCTATCTTGAGATAAAGAATGCATTTGTTAGCAAGTTGGCATAATTGAGTTTGGGGAAACTAAAAATCTTCTTCCTTAATTGCTCTATTGAAGACATATAGAAAGATCAAATCATTTTATCTAAAAGTTTATACTTTGTTGATAGGCTTAGCATTAATCAGATCAACTATAGTTTTGTCATTTTTAGGCTTGCAAGCCTTTTAGGCCCCGAGCCTTTCTGCCCTTTCTGGGTTTACGGCTTTTCTCAATTTCATTGTTGTGCCGAAGAATACATCATCCCTGGCTCCCTTTCGAAAAAAAAAAATGTCAAAAACAATGGCTTATTATAGTAGTTTCTTGATGTGTTTACTACTTTTTAGTTCTAAAGTTTGTCTTATCAAATGTGAAGCAGGCGAAATTCAGATTGCAGCAAATTTAGAACACTGAGTTGGATGAAGTAAAACAGAAAGTTTAGACCAAAAATGAAATTGACCCAATTATTTTTTAAGAGTCAATAACGTAAGGCATAAAATTAGCTGAGTTGCGTCCTCACATTTCCATTGTTTTATACATTTCATACACTGAACTATTCATTCACTGGTTAACTCCTAGTTTGTGGCCTTGCATTATGTAAAGTGTTTTCCATTCAAATATTTTGAAATCACGGAATCCATGTTTGCAAGTAAAAGAATTGACATTATAAGCAACTATAGTCATACGTCAACCATTATGCCTTTCATTTTCAGTAAAGACATTTGCATATGGACATCAGAAATGCATTTCATTTATTTTATATTCATTAACGTTGAGATTAAGTTATCTTTCATATCCAGCTTCATCCAAGACACAGCACAGACCATGACTGACCTCCCTTTGGCTTCTCTTTGTAATTGTAAATTGGCCTGCATACTTGAGTCCAAACTCTCCCTTTGGGAAAGCACTAAAATTAAATTCCAACCCAATCCCAAAGCAACATAGCTGGTTGATTTTAACAAGTTTGTGTCCTCTTTATATATGTGTGTGTGTCCTCTTCATATATATGTGTGTGTGTCCTCTTTATATATATGCGGGTGGCCGGGTACCATATCCATCTCCTCTAAACATCGTTCTAAAAGATCAGAAAGTGTGGCCCAGCTAGTAACTAGGTTCCAAGTGGCACAAAATTTACCTGCAATATCAAGGTTTCAAAACGGTGATGGAAGCACTTGTGGCTAGGAATACTTACCCAAGTCCCAATTGGGATTAGTCTCATACCTTCAGGTATGAGATGACCTGAGACTTTCAACCAAAAAAAAAAAAAAGCAGCTTATTGGCCCTCGTTTGATGATTTTCCTGCCTCCTCCATTGACACCTCTTATTTCACTCACATTTGTTATGCATTCATTTTACCCGAACCGGCCACTTCGAAGCTTAATGTTACCCAGTTTGACCTAACAAAAATACTAGAGCTAATAGACACACTTTGCGCCAAAAACTTGCCCATTAAGATTTTATTATCCATAGGAGGAGGTGGTATGTAATGACCCCAATGTTTTTTCGAAGATGGTTAGTACCAAAGAAACACGTATAACTTTCATCAATTCAACAATTGAAATAGCTAGAAAATATGGTTTGACGGTGTCGATTAAGATTGGGAATTCCCTGCCAATGATCAAAACATGGCGAATCTTGGGTTATTATTTAGACAATGACGAAAAGCTTTAAATCATGAAGCTAGACCAAGCAGAAATTCACGTTTATTATTAACTGCTGCAGTTTATTATGCCTCTAAATTCACCACATATGGTGAGCCTCGATCATATCCAGCAAATGCAGTTAAAATTATGTTGATTGGGTGAGTCCAATGTGTTTTGACTATCATGGTTCATGAGAAAATTTTACTGGGATACGGGCAGCGCTTTATGATCCTAATAGTAATATAAGTACCAGCTATGGAATTGGGTCTTGGATTCAAGCCGAGTGTCACGGGCTAGGAGTTTCACACCCAAAAAGTTAACCTATTAGGTGGAGGAACTCCCCCCATTTATAAGCCCAAGATCTCCCTAATACGCTTCCAATGTGGGATTTGTTACATTCTCCCCCACTCAATCCTGTGACGAGGACGTCACAGGTGGGGTCCCCTGTCTACCCATCCACCTCACTCTCGTGTGAACCCACAATCACACATGGACACCCTTGCGTGGGCGCTTGGCGGGACATCGAAAGACAAATTGGGTCTGCTCTGATACTATTTGTCACGGGCTAAGAGTTTTACACCCAAAAAGCTAACCTATTAGGTGGAGGAATTTTCTCCATTTATAAGTCTAAGACCTCCCTAATACGCTTTCAATGTGGGATTTGTTACACGAGGTACCGCCCGAGAAGTTAGTCATGGGCCTCCCATTACATGGACGCACATGGAAGCTCAAGGATCGGAATGTTAATGGAATTGGAGCTCCGGCATTAGGAGTTGGGCCTGGAGCTGGCATCCTTACTTTCAATCAAATTGTTGACTTCAACACAGCTAACAGTTCAACTGTTAAATTTGACGACGAAACGGTGGGATATTATTCTTATGCTGAGGATTCTTGGGTAGGGTACGATGATGTGGAGTCGGTATAATAATTATCTAATTATTCTTCTAATAAAATACGTTAATCACAAATTACATAGCTAATTGACACTGACATACGCTTTATTGATGATTGGCAGCTTCAAATTCACGGAGACGTTGATAGCTTTCAGAAGTCCACTGGATTCAGTTCGTTTGATTGCTTGTATCTCTTCCTTTGATTAAATCATTATTCAATGATTAGCTGTGAAGATAACGATACTAATGATAATTAACAAATAAATTAAAGATTATACGTACAAACTAATTAAAGGATCAAAGAATAAGCTAAGCTTGAGATCTGGGTAGGTTTTTCTAAAATGGTGCCTTGCCAAATGCCCTCTCTAATCATATCTGTAAAACTTAAAAAATAAACTTTAACTTACTGTATGTCATTCTTTCACCTCATGTTTAGCAAATCCACGTTTGATGCCACATGGGTTTGGTTAATTTCGCAACCACTACAAAGGCCAACACAGATCGAATTAGTTGACCAAAGTCTTCTGTTAACCACTCTATTATATTCATATATAACTCCCTCGATCTTTGGATTCATATATCTCATGTTTTGCTCTCCTCAATGCTAAACCTAATTTTCACATACCAGGTTTTTCAAGTTCCAATATATATGTGTATCTTTGCTTTTTTCAGGTTTATTCTTGGCTGATAGGGTACAGCTAGCTAGCTATCCAAAGTTGGCATATTATTTGGAACCTTTGACTGATAACAAAAACAGATGTTCATTAACTGAAATTCTTTTCTTCCAACGTAAGATTTCTACGCAGACAACGCGAATCTAATGCTCCTAAATTCTCAGTAAAAGTAACAGATAAAAATGTTACTTCAGTTAGTTCTACGACAAAAAGAGTCATACAGCTTGCATAACTTGTACTAATTCTGTAACATCACCAGTCTACCAAATATGAACATGGAATACAGTTTCCCAGATAACTGTTAACTCCATTGCGTGCTATATTCTGAACAATTTGGTTTCCCTTGATCTTCTTTCTATAGATATCCAAATATATAATAAGTTGTGGAATTATGTTATGTTCTTGAAGTGAAGCCGCACAGATTTCATGAAAGATATAATATATTTGAAAGGAAGGTTGAACGAAGGCAGTGAAGGTGCATGTTTTAATATTGTGGGCGTATATCCCTTATGGGAGACAGTATTAGCTAAACATAAGCACATTTATGAAGCAAGCTAAGCTGTGTTCTTCCCCCCTATACTCATGTGAGTTCAAAAAGCAAGGAATCAAAAGATTTTGGCAGCCAACATGAATCTTCTAGATATATATATAAAGTATAATAATGTATTGTGGTGTTGGAAAGAGAGAGAGAGAGAGAGGGCACTTCCGTTATCATGCAGAGATTGAATATTTATGGACAGTCAAATGATGGTGGGCTTGATAATCATAAATAATTTGATTGGGATCTTGTTTGTATCCCTGATTGGTGGTTTAGGATCTTCCACATTGTCATTCAGAGCAATTCCAACGGGGTAAAATAACTTGTCATCTCAATCTATCCTTCCTTCCTTCTAGTGGGTTTATAACTTCATTACCACATCAGTACTCTTTTCTTTTATCTTATAATTAAAGACTATAGTATGATGCAAGATTGATTAAGATATAACTATAAGTATGGTAATGGTTTATTGATTAAATTAATTAAACATTGGATTAGAAGATAAAGATACAGCTTTATTCAACTTGGAAAGGAACCAAGTCTGATTGATTATAAGATTTGTTTAATTAATCTCCTTCTTATCTGGAACCCACAAACGATAGTAGTCTCCACCAAAATCACACCATCCATCCATAGTTAGTGCACATTAAATCAAAGCTTTAAAATAATTTTTTTTCTTGTAATAGTAACATATCTTCAAAGAAAGTTGGTTTGATGGTCAAGAAGGTTTATTCGTTTCAAACCATCTTGAGACATCTACCACCTTAGTAACTTATCTTAAAACACTATCTTTATAGGATGTTCAATGGACCTTAAGAATTAGTCGGGAAGCTGACCCGAATATAAAAAA